TTGCTCTTCGAACCGGCGCTACTGGACCGAGTCTCAAAAGCTATCAAGCCTTTTGTCTTTGGCGTAGTAGTTACATCGTGTGAAAATTTCATCAAAATGCGGGGGGCACTTCTCAAGTTACAGACGGGGAAAGGATTCGTGGACAGACAGACGAAAAGACCGACTGAAAATGAGTGACATAGTTTTTGGTGATGTAACATACATGTCATATAACATCCAAAAAACATATCTCATTTTCGAAATTTTTCGCGACTACAATACTTCGTTGCGAAAATAGTCTGGTTTGTTAACTTGGGGCTCCAGGATTGTTATCCAACAATACTTCGTTGTCACAACAATTTTTGTGAAAATACCCTCAAAAATATACTGGTTTGCTAAAATGGGGCTTCAAGACTGTTATCCAGTGGTAAATTCCAGTTAATTGATTATTTCTTGTTCGACATTTAATTCCACTCTCCACTACTTACGACAAATGTGTGGTACATACTTTCAGTTGGAGGTCAGCCTGCCATCTATTATAAAGACTGAAAAGGGCGTAAATGTGTCCTGTTTGCTAACCTGCACGCGGAGCCGATGCTGTGACAATAACAATGAACAATCCACTAAGAATTATTGTTGATTGTTGAATATGTCGTGTCTTGTAGATGTAGGCTGATACATATATTAGCAAGGATAATTCCTTTAATGGTTGAACTGTAGTTTAGTTATCATTACATGCTATGGTCCAGCGCTTATCCTACATGCTTGCAGGATAAGACATTCTTACGACAATTCAATGCAGGGTGTGTGGTTTACTGACATATTTATGCTAATTACACAGCATCTTAAACTACTTCTTTCTGGAAGCGTGGCAAACTATGTAACTTTTTGAAGAGTCATAGAATACGATAGTGATTTCTGTTTTGAAATTTTTGGTTTTTCTGGTTTACTCACAAGCACAACAGTTCAAAGTGGAGTGACTCTTCTTCCTCTTAAGGTCGCACATCACATTTTTGAAACCTCATTTTTCTCTGAGGGTGTGTCTCAGCCACTCGGTAATTGCTGCTGCTGCTGCTGCAGCAAAATATTTCATTGATTGTTTGAGTTTCTTGAATTTTTTCTTCTATCGAAATACGCATTTCAAATTTTGTATCTGCATCAAGCAAGAGTATATCTGTGATAACTTTGATTTTACTAGCTTCTCTTTTAAACATCTACAAGGTTTTTCCAAATCTGGTAAGTATGAAATCGTTAACAAGTCGTACAAATAACTTCGGAAATATTTCAACATGATCAAACAAGTTTATATATCGACGAATAGATCTAACCTTTATAGAATTAAAAAGATCTATACTCCTTAGACAAGATAAAAAAGATATCTTTAAAATCGATTCAGTAATACGATGTCGAAGAATATTTGAATTAAAACATACTTAAGCTCTGCTTGGAAATGTTTCGGAGATATGCGATCGTACTTCTAAACTCCTGTAGGTTATTTTTCTAGTTCAGCAATGAAACCACAGGTATTGAATAAATCAGTTTTTAATTACTTCGGCTGCTCCAACAGCCTTATTCAAAATGATGGATAATGTGGAGCGAATTCTTAAAATTTAAGCTAGCCGAAACTTCACTCTATCAAAACCTTTGGTTTGAATATGAAGGCGATCCTTGATTGTTACTCATTTTGGGAAGTTGTATTATAATATTAGTTAAGGAAGGAGTAATTTTCCAAATGATGTAGATAAGTAATATATGTCAGTTGTTCATACCGTAGCGCTCACTACGTGTACCCAATAAATTAGTTCAGATAATGTGTTGCAAAAGCAAGTAGTTCGCAGTATCCACTCTGACGTAAAAGTGAAAGAAAGGATTCGTGATGCTTCGTTTCCGCAGTTCAGGAAAGAAAAGTATGATGATGGTTTCTGAAATATTGTAAATTTTTTAAGCCGCTATACAACAGAAAACACGTAGAATTAACATTTCAAAATTAGCAACACTTGTTGTTTCCATATTTTGCACCTATACTTACCATTATTCTCTTGCATGACGTCTGCTGTTCTTTTTTTAGGTTCTTTCCTTTTTTTAACGCAACGTTACCAAAATCGATCACTAATTACTATCCCATTAAAAAATACGGTGTCTCTGTGAAGTTATATCGAAAGATGTTGGATTTTTCAAATGGATATTTTCAGGGAAAATGATAGTACTTTCTTTCTGATCCAAAATATATATCGTTTATCACACTTATTTCCATTAGTTTGGCCAAAAATTTAATGTTTGTGTGAGCGAGCTTGAACTAGTTTGTATCTAGCCGCCTATGCTATCTGGTATAGGGCCGGGATACATATTATTAAATGACACACAAACCTCAAATTTTTGACAAAAGTAACAAAAATAAGTTTAACAAACCATATATAAAGGGTGTTCCATCTATTGCTTTTTTTTCAACTACCATTTTTTGTCATGTTAAATATGTCAACTGTCATGTGTTTAGCACATATGAACTGTCAAAGGTCTGCCATTTGTTATTATGGATTTAACAACGCAAGAACGCATTTTGGTCCTCCAAAAATATTACGAAAACGGACGATCTTTAAAAAGTACTTTTCGCAAACTTCGTGATGAATTTGTTCGACATAATCGTCCCACAGAGCGTAGAAGTCGGTGGATTTTATCAATCATTTTGAGGAAACTGGCTCAGTTGAAGGTCGTAGAACATATCAACCTACCCGTCCGGTACGTACACGTGAATCAGTGGCCGCTGTGAGTGAAGTGATGAACAGCCATAAACTTCGATAAGACACCGTTCGCAAGAATTTGACATCAGGCCAACATCATTATGGAAGATTTTGAATGTTGATCTCCACCTACACCCATACAAGATCCAACTAACTCAACAATTGAAGCCATCGGACCATGATCAACAGAGTTTTTTTGTTAATTGGACGCTTGAAAAAGGAGAGAGATTACGGCTAAAATCATATTTTCAGACGAGGCACATTTTTACCTCAGTGGCCACGTAAATAAGCAAAACTGTAGAATTTGGAGTTCGGAAAATCCACTCGAGATCCATGAATGGTGAGGATTATAGGCTGGTGGCATCATTGGGCCGTTCTTTTTCGAGGAGGAAGAAGAAGAAAAAGCCGTTACGCTCACCGCCGAACGTTATCGTGGTATAACAGATTTTTTTTTGACCGAAATTGGAAGGTATTGATGCCAACGACCTTTGGTTCTAGCAACACAGTGCAACTTCGCACACAGCTCGCCAAACAATCCAGTTATTAATTTCCAGATCGCATTATTTCGAGAAATTCCGACGTGAATTGGCCTCCAAGATCGTGCTACTTAACGCCACTGGACTATTTTCTCTGAGGATTTTTAAAAAGTAAAGGGTACGCGACTTCCCAATGCATGATTCAAGACTCTAAGCGCGACATTCTCACCGAAATTGCGGCCGTGGACCCGCTAATACTGCAAAAAGTCATCGAAAATTTTGATGTTCGGATGATGGCATATCAACGGAGCCGTGGTGGACATGTGTGCGATGTTATATTCCATACATACATGGCAAAGACCGACCTACGATTTTCAATAAAGAGTTCAGTTTCTCATTCATAAAAAGTGCGTTTTCTTTTAGATTAAAAAAAAAGTAACGGATGGAACATCCTGTATTTGGAAAGGGACAATTATTTTCACAGTAAATATATTGGGTGTTTTATTTAAAAGAATCCAACTTTAATCGATAGCACTTTTCAGAGATAAAATAGAATCACACAAAAAACTTCATACTTGTGAGTAGTGAGCTAAATCGTTTTTGCCAACTTTATCATTCATGAGGTATAATAAGTTGACTAGGATCGGCAAGGGTACATATGTAAAAAACCTAAAAAAAAAAAAATACCGTCATCCTGCATACTAGGTAGTATTTAGTGTGTAAATAGTTTATTCCACGTTTGCTCGCTATAGAGCCATCAAAAGCATCCATTTATGGAGAAATGACTAAACGATCCGACATGCATTGTTGGTTGAGGAAAGCCGAGTAGTCTGTAGTGTTTATCTCTGAGAATATGTGAAAGAAAGTCAATTGATTGAGTAGCTGGATCACATCTGGGTGATTACGTGTATTGGTCTGCATGTGTATACAATCAGTGATATTTGCTATGTGAGAAAATCATTACTGAATTTGCTGCCAATGAAGTATATCTATTAGCTATGCCAGACGGGTTATACAGTTATATATATATATATATAAAGAGAAAATGATCATGCGGAGAAAGGTATATAACAAAAAATAATAAAACAATGGTCAAAATCCACAAAAAAATGACCCTAGTAAAGATAACATGGACACATAAGACAACTGTTGAAATACTCTAGTAGAGTATATTTCAACAGTTTGTTGTCTTGCGTGGTCATGTTATCTTTACTCGGGCCAATAATGTAATAACTTTTTTACGTTTCATAAATATTCCTGTCTGTAGCATATTTTTTCACCTATTACTTGTGATGTACATACTTTACCTACCTGGGATTTTCTTTTCTAATCTCTCTGATTTTAGAAGTTCATCAAATTTGCATATGTAATTTTCAGAATGAATAAGAAGTGGATGCGCAATTCATTTCTAGCATTTCAAGAATACATCACAAGTAAGTGTATTTGAGACAAGAAACCAATGGAGTTATCATCAACACAGATCATTAGCACACAAATGGTCACTATGCCCGCTATAGTGTATAACTCACAGCTTAGATCTCCAACTAGGTCACTAAAAAAACGAAATTTGCTGTATTTTCAAATCCACAATACTTCCTGATCCTGCCAATAGATGGAATTGATGAGAAAACTGTTTGAAGCAACTATAATAAAGCTATAAGCACGCGTTATTTATACATCGACATCATAATTTCATAAAAAAATCCATTTTTGGGAATTGCCGTAATCGTCTTTCACATCACATATGAAAAGATAAAAAGCTAGATCACCCGGAAAAGGGCGTTAACCTACAATGTCCATTATAAGAAGTATGTAAAGTAGTCGTATAGGTGTTGGCTTGTCTCCAATGAATAAAGTGCGTTAACGACCGAACATTGATAAAAAACGCAATTCCACGCGAATAGCGAAGGTCAAAAAGAAATGTATATAAACTGGGGTGAACGCTATTGCTGATGCATTGTTCTGTTCCAAGACCAGACGATCTCACTATGAACGCTTTGGTAAGAAATAGTATTTTTTTCTGAAACTATGGGGGTTGAAGCACTCCGACTGTATTTCCCGATAGGGCTTTCATTACTTAAATCAGCATAGTCTTAGCAACGTATGTTAGTAGATGCATATCGCTCCTGATTTTTATTGGAATAAGAAAAACATTTTTGCCAATCAGGAGGTTAGAGGAACGATTTTTTTGTAATTTTTTTCTCACTTACTATAAATAATGTAGATACTTTATGATGAAATATAATATTTAAAATAAATCACTGAGAGAAAAATTATCTTTCTGTTGCTAATGCGGGGCAAAATGAATTTACTATTAAGTTCTTTATGAATGTTAGGTTATCGTAAAATTAATTAAATTATGAGAAATAGGAATCAATCTTTCCATGCTTTAATCAATGTAAAGTCGCTATCAGATTAGGAATAGTTACAAGTTGTACAAAAAATCTGATTTACACAAATAAATATAAAAGGCAACGTTTTGCATTGCTCCGATATTAGCATCACATACCACATCATGTCACTTCGAACTTTCATCAACGTCTGGTCAGTATTTGCTGCGATTACACGGTGACAAAAAGACGGTAATGAGTGAAATGCATTTTTGTAAAGTATGACATCAAAAATAATATTACAAGCTGCGTGGTCAGAAATATGGAATGACATTATCATTTAAAATGTGTAAGTGGTTTTGGCGAAGTATAAGATTTTTATTAAATTTTAACTTTCCATGACGGTGACTTTTAAAAAACGGAGATATTAAGCCTAATACTCGCAAATATTGATAAAGCGATTGCTTCCTTTTAAAAAGCAAATGGATGCTTAATTGTGCGGTCTAGTATTCTGCACAAAGTCAAGAGTAACATTTGTGTAAAAATATCTGCATTACCCTCTGAAACAAGCGTTGGTAAATATGGAAAAAACCACATACTTTTGTATTTCACTGTTGTCATTACCATTCTTGTATTTTCATTCAATGGAAATATTATATTCTATACCGTACCTGCCATTAGCAATCACTGTACTTTCTTACCCTTCACGTGCGGAGAGGAAACTATTTCTGTCGGTGAAAGCATTGATTGCAATTTTAAGTAGGATTCGCAGAGCAATTGTCTCTAGCTATTCTACAAGCTCCCTGCTTATGTATCTCTCAAATGCTCTTGGTTATGGAAGACAATTGATGCTATGATTGAACTGAATCTGCTTGCTTTCCGTCTCAGTAGCCACGACCAACCGCATACAAGTTTAACAATCATCAGTACGGTATGAGTCTAGTCGCACGGAAACATATACATAAATGGAAAGCAAACCAGCGGGCTTGGTGAATTCTGTGTTCTGTTTAGGAGGAAGGGCGATCAGAGGTCGTAGGTCTTATTGGGCCTCTTGGACGTCCTCCCCAGGAGTCGCACAAGGATGAATCCTCAGCCACCCCAGACGGTTGAAAAAGGTGATGATGCGAGTTGTGGAGTTTCCCTTCCGCGATTCTCGGATAGATAAGACAGTTGATCTTCCTGTTCACAACCTCTACATAAGGACTACTCAATCTCATGTTACAGGGAAGTTTCCTTAGCTGAAAGTGTCCAGTCGTTTGATACTTCCTTACTAGGATAGCCGAGTAATTCCTTAACGATTGAGCAGCCCGACGTATCATCCTACATGTTCTAGAAAACTTTGTTAGTGTGCTATTTTAGCACAGTTGTCAGGGCTTTTATGGATGGATGATGCAGAGGGACTCTGGGCCTAGTATTCTGGAATTAGTCTATCGCCTATTGTATTACCCTTGGACTGTGAATGATCCTTTACACAGGCAACATATATGTTGTTACTGGTACAGGGACCCGCAAGTGCCAAATAGTAGTCTAGTGCTGCTCTCGTTGTAAGCTTGGAAAAATTGAGAGTCAGGATTGCCTGTCTGCAATCCGTGCAGCTCCTAATATTTTTGCTTGTGACATTCCTAAAGGCAATTTCCTTGCAGCTAAGGTTATGCCAGCTAATTCAACCTGAGTGATCTGCCATCCATGGACTACTGAAAAACTCAGTATGTTGTGCGCAAAGCGTTACCGTGTTACTAGGATGATCCGGTATAAGATTTCAAAATAAACTACTACAATACTATTTTCTTTGCAGGTGATTGCCTTGTTCGCTACCGTGGCCGTAGCCAGTGCCGCTCCCTCGGGCTATCTGGGATTGGGACTGGGACTTGGCCATCACGGCGCCCTGATCGGAGCTCCGATCGCTCATGGAGCCGTCTTGGCTGGACCGGTCGCCCATGGTGCCGCTTTGGTTGGACCAGTCGCTCCCGGAGCAGTGGTTGCAGGTTGGTACACGCATAACATCTTCATTTTAAAGTAAACAAAAGGTACATTCAAAAATAATAAAAAAGTTCATACAAACTTACATTAGCAAAATACATGTTGTTTCTACGCCACTGATGAGATTGAATTAGGAAACACGTGAATATAATTCAAATATCGCTAAGGTGAGAGAGGAAGACTTTTGTACGATTTTGAATCTAAAATTCTTCTAATTCTAACGTATTTTCGAATTAAAACAGATTCTACATTCAAGCCAATTCTTGTCGATAGGAATTAGTCTGAAAACAATTTCTCAAGGAAGACCATTCATGTAAATTTGAACACCTTATTGAGAAATCCAATAGATGTTTCAAAAAAGTCAGTGGCGTTTTTTGTATGGGTTAAAATTGATTAATTTCTACGCTATCTTGATCCCCACTTACGACATACATATTACTTATAGATTACAGAAAATTAGATTCATAGGATTTAAAATAAAATTTCTTCTGGTATATTAACTGAATATTATCTATGGATAATATATCAAGCTAAATACATTAAGCATGAAAACACTTTTAAAGAAATGGATTAACACGCTAGGAATAAACAACATTCATGGAATAATATCAAATAATACACAATAAATACTGCCATTCTTATAAATTATATAATATAGGTCATTTTTCTTCTGCTTTATTTATTGCAATTGATCCATGCACAGGCATTGTCTTTCTATGGGTAAATTATATTTAATTACTCCTATTATGTTACTTGTATTTATAGAGTAAATAAATATTACTACTATATTAATACTACTACCACTACCACTACTACTACTACTACTACTACTACCAGTTTTTTAAATAGAAATGTAAATGTCATCACCCCATCACGATGTCACTATGGTACCGCTCTTGTAGGTCCCGCCCACGGGCCGTCAGTGATCGCCGGCCCTGTCCACGGCCCATCTGTTGTTGCTGGACCCGTCCATGGACCCAGCCACATCGCTGGACCAGTTAACCACGGAGCTGTCGTTGCTGGACCAGTTAACCATGGTGCCATCCTCACTCCACCAGTCAACCATGGTGCGATCCTCATTCCACCAGTCAACCATGGAGCCATCATTACCCCACCAATCCATCACGGTGCTGTCATCGCTGGAGCTCATCTTGGTATGTATGATTCATCCGAATTTGATTTAAAAGACCATAAAACGTCAATGATTCCTTTCACGTTCGTATATACAGGTTCTGGCAAATATCAAAGGGATGATTCTTTAGACTATTGAAGTTTGACGATTTCCAGAAGTCGCTTTGCTTTGCGGATGCGAACCAAACTACATCTAAAAGATGGCATAGTTATATTGACTTTATACTTCCTATGCCTTCTTTAGAGGTTTCAAAGAAAATGGGAGAGTCAAATTGTTTCAAAAGGCGAAATCGGGTCGTGATTAGGTAGGTTCATTTAGTTACGATGAATCTTCGACCTTTGCATATCAAACTATAAAGCAAATCTATCATATTTATATTTCCATGGCAGATGTAGGAAGAATATGTGTGACTTATATTAACAGGTGCATAGTATCACCGAGATCAGAATCTTCTTAATAACAGAAGGTCTTTCAGTGCCACCAAGTGTGCAACAACTCACAACCATTTACCGCATACAGCTTCCATCCAACTACTTTTATCCTCTCCAAACAGCGTCTGAAAATGAGTAGTAATCTCTGAAACGTTATAACCAATTTTCAAAATCTACGGCTACCTGTACGATGGAAGTATTAAACTCGCGAACATATTCGAACTTCGGTTCACAACTTTTCTGATGCTTAAAGATGTCTGCATCACATAAGTCCGCGTTTCTCAATTATGTCGGTTTGTTAGTCGGTGTATTTTGTATGTCAATGCGTCATAAGTACTGCGTCAATCTACATGACGAAATATTCAGAGAAGCATCATAGATGAAGTAACACAAATTAAAGGTTAGGCGAAATGGGTGGTACATCATAAAATTGATAAAAATATATGTTCAGATATGTAAACAATGAAATCATCATTTACAAAACCATCGCAGAACGCTAAAGTGGTTCGTACTCCTAATATCAAAATATATAAATAATAAGTAAAAAATAAAATAATGTGACAGTGACGACACCACCACAGACTAGTTGGAGTTTGTTACCCATTGCACAAGTCGGGAATGTCCTCTACGTCGATATAGTCTCGTGACAGCGATTGCTAAGTTATTTCGAATTATGAGCACATTCTACATCGGAATTTTATCTATTTAATTTTCCTGTTGTTACCAGGATCAGAAGCTTCTTAATTATAGAACGCCTTCCAAGTTTCAACCCCTACAAAATTTTTTTCGAAAATGATCAGGAGGCTCTGAAATGTCAAAAATGAGGCTTAAGCGAGTTTAACCTCCATCAAGCTTTTTCATCCTTGTGTGAAAATTTCATCAAAATCCGAATGGTACTTCTCAAGTTATAGGCGGTTATAAAATTAGCGGACAGACCGACAGACAGACCGTTGGAAATGAGTGACGCTTTTTTGTGATGTACATGTTATGTAACATCCAAAAAGCGTGATATCACATTTTTGAAAGTTTTCGTGATTACAATACTTTCTCGCCAGCTTTGGCATAGGAAGTAAAACGTAACAATGTTATGAGCAAGAAGCAAATCTAGATATAGCTTCTTAATCCACAAAACGTGTTCTCAATTTTCTCCTTATAAGCTGCCATACTCTTTCAGATACAGGAGCGTCATTTCCTATTGAACCATATCCATTTTCTTAAATCTCCAGTACCTTCAGATGATCACATAAGAAATAACCTAGTTTAATTACGGAATTCAAATAGGTGAGATCCATCTCGTTCTCTCCAGCGATCTGTACATGCTTCTAAAACTATATTTGGCAAAAATCAACAAACACCAAAGACTCTTTAGGTTTACTTAAAGAATCATTCTTTGAATTTTTGCTTTCATGTTACAATCATTATGATTCGAAAATGGAGATTTCCAAATAATCGACAAGACGTGCTTCTCTAACATCTTTGAAATGAAAAAATAAAATAGATATCAATATTTCATGGAATGCTGGGAGTTTTGAATGAAAATGATATCACACCAATAGCCGCCTCTGGAAACCGCACAAAGCAATACCCTCTGGATCCTTTTCGCATCATTTTTCAATAGATTTTAGGAAGAATATCTAATATTTTAAATAGTTTTACGAATACCGCTCTTCAACTGCTTCATAGCGCTTGATTTGTTGGCATGAACCTTATATTTTAAAAATCCCACTATAAGTCTGGGGCTATCAAAAGGAGTGATCTTGTAGGATCTATGACATCACCTAATGCGGTCGACCAGATTCACTGAAAACAAAGTGCAAATGTAGCATATTCAATAAGATCTTGATTTTCAATCAAATGATTCCAAGGACTTCCTCTTCTCCTGAATGGGTATACTTAAAGCGTATAATGATGCTTAGAACCTCAAACTATCTACTAAAACTGAGGTTCATGAGGTTTTTATTTTGTTCACAGTTTCTGAAACCAAATCTCTCTCCTTGAGAGAAGTAGATAAAATGTAATCTCAGTTTACTTCATACTATAAATTATACTTGGATCAGGTTGAGAGATAGAAGACAAGCAAATAAAATGCAGTCAAATGAAAATATGCACTTCCCTTTATACCTATGTATTCGTATCTCCTGGTAAAGTTTCACTGGGCGTTACTTTTGCTATGCCAATTGAAACAAACATGAGAATTTCACAGAGGCATTTTTCAATCAATAGAATGCTAGCTTTGCTGAACTATTTATTTGCTAAAACCGATTTTTTCTATTCCTAGGTTACGGACACTTGGGACACGGACATTTTTAGGTGATGCAAAACACCTCGTCTGCTGTAAATGTTCCAGTAATACCTGGAGGTGAGGATGCAGGACAACCGTCGTTCTCTAGGATATTAATGGAAATCTTTACCTAGTCGGATTTCGTCTGAAGTTGGCAAAGCTCATGTACCTCTCCTAACTTGTACCTCAAAATTTATTAGTGTTTTTTTTTTGTAAATATTTATTCACAATATTTGCTCAATAAAGAGTCTAAGAACTCTCGATGCTGATGCTTTATTTCGTACCTTACAGCGATAATGATAAATGTTACGAAGTAAAGGTTAAGCAAATGTTAATTTGGTCATGGCACTGGTGACTGCCTTGAGCTCTCAAGTAAGGTCGCAAAAATGAGATACCATCTAACCTTTCATCCCAATTTCTAACAGAAGCAGACTTTTAAAATATAAAAAATTGAGTGCTAAATGAAAAGTTAATTTTTTATTTTTGTAATTCAAATATATATATATATACATTTCGATTTTAGTTCTCCATCATCACTTGAGTCCTCTGCAATCAAAGATGCTCCCCAGCGTTGCGAACATCGAAGTTATTTCTTCAACGAACTGGTTGATATTGAGTTCAGGACGAATAAAGCAAAAAAATAGCAGATCATTTCTTATCAATACATTTTTCGTTTTTTTAAATTCTAATTCGTTCAAGTGTTTCGGTAAACTTCACCTTTTTGATGGATTTGATACAAGTTAGCAGCATCAGGAATACAACCTATAAACTTAGGGATTTTAATTTTTATGTCTGTTTTCTTATCAGAAGATGCTTTTAATTGGTAATTATCTGGAAGATAAATACTAACAAGTTGATGCTCATCAGCGCGAGAGAATGATTTTGGTGTAGTGCTGTCAGATGATAAATGTTGAAGAACGTACTGTTTAAAAAAACGGCAAATTCAGAAAGTAAACGGTAGACTGCTTGCTAAGTTTTTCAGAAGAGCATATCCGCTGTACTGATGATTGCTAATGAGCATGATACAACATTTCAGAGATGCCACACTATACCAAGCTTCACATTCCCATTTTCAGGTTTAGAATTTTTGGAGACTTGAATCACTATCTGCCTCGTCTTCTTCTTTAGGAAGAAAGTATTTTACACCTGTTCAAAGACTTTTTCTTTATAACCTTAGTTATACTAGTTGCCTAATACTTCAAGCATTTGGATTTCACTTCCAAATTAGCAAACGCTAAATGACGAGAAGTTGATGGACTGGTGAAATATCAAAAATTGGTTCCACATAAGTTGTCGGATAAAAATTCACTTTTTTATTTCTGTAATTCAAATATGGTAGACTGCTTGTTGAGTTTTTCAGTAGAGTATAGCCGCTGTACTGACGATTGCTAATGAGCATGAAACAACATTTCAGAGGTGCCGAAAAGCGTATGGGATTCCTGCTACCAACGTACGTGTCGGTGGCACTGTTTTGGAGAAATGCTCATAGATGGCAATGTCACATACTTGAAACATGAAATAACTTCAATAATAATCATAACTGAAATTAAATAAAACTTATAATTAGGCTAATAAAAAACGCGGATACTATATCAAGCTTCATATTCTTGTTTTCAGATTTCCCATTTTTCTAGATCTAAAGCATTGCCTCAAAGAAGAACATATGTATGTTATAACATTTAAATTCAACTTTACTTTTTAAAAAATTTATTTGAGGAGAGTAGCTACTGTCCGTTACAAACGTTTACAATTGAACTTATTAGTTAGCGTACATTACGGTGTCGCGCCGGGTATTGAACAACATGAAATGGGCGCAAGGCCTATTTATACTATCGGTGTGCTTACAAAGCACTTCTAGAAAACAAAGCATAAGCAACGAGTTAGCGAGAAGTCGTAATCTGTGGCTGAGCTAGCGTCTGATGCAACATTGTATGGAATAGTAAGTCCATTGTTGTGAGTGCATATAACAACTTCCCCCTATTACAAAAAGTTGTTGCCATGCGACAACTTTTGACAAAATTAGAAAAGTGTAAAAGATGTAAAAATTCAAAAATGTAAAAATGTAGAAATTTAAAATTGTAAACATTGTAAAATATAAAAATATAAAGGTAGGAGTAATAAAATTGCAAAATACAAATTGCAAAATAACATCAGACAACATAGATCCTGAAAAATAAAATTCTTAGCATAAAAATATGATATAGGCAATGCGATTGCAATGCTTCACAAGTAAATGCTGAAACAAAACATTAAAAGCAAGGCGTACAAAAATGTCATTAAAAATGAAAAGGAAAATTGATTTTTCACAATTGGAACTTTTCACTCACTGAACACTACTGTAGTTCAATTTCTTCTTCGTGGGGTTGGATGATTGGTCTTCGACGTGGAAAAAGCCTGGGGATGTATCTGATTTTCGACGTTCCTGGTGACGGTCTATCAGCTGGGTAATTTGGTGCACAAATACTGAGTGGTCGGCGTTTTCTGCACTTGCAGAAGATATAGAGGGCTAACATGACGGCTAGCAGGGTTATGACGACGTACGTAAACCAGGAGATATGTCGTGAAACAAAAGGCTCTTTAATAAGTTTATCAAGTTGTTCAGAATACTGTTTCGACTTGTGGTTGGCGATTTCAAGCTCTTCTGTATCGATCTTGGTTAGCTTGATCGGTTTCAGGTTCGGCAAATTTTGTTTATCAGGGAGATGATTGCAGCATTCGTAGGGTATCCCTACAGGGTGGCTTTGATAAGTGATATACTTATATAATAATAATAATATTAATGGCCTTTATTTTACCTAGCGGGTTACATCAGCACAAGCTGTTTTTCAGAACCAACCAGGGCTAAAAAAAAATTCAAGTACATGCAAATACAAAAAAATACACAGAAGATAATAAGTAAATTTAAAGCAGAAATTTTTTTTTTACAGAATCCTAGCCTATGCATGGTATAATGACCAAAAGACCAAAAGAGAAACGCGCAGCAACAGAGTACGTAGCAGAATCAAAAACCGTGATTAGAAGTAACTTATAAGCGTTAACAGAATATCTGGCATGAAGCCTTGTAGTGCCTATGAATCCACTGCATTCTGGCTACATTTTCAAAAGTGTATTAGCCTTGATCACCTTTGTGGTTGTCTCAAAATTGGTTGCCAGTTCCTGCAGAGCCACAATGGCTATTTGATATGTTGCTGGCTGATCGACCGGAACAATTGTGCTTCGCAGACTGCATTGTTGTCTATTGGATATGGTAAGAGGTTAAAACAGATCTTAACCTGTGATTGGAGAATTTTGCAACTACACAAATTTTGAAAGGAGAGAGGTAGAAATTACATGAAATAGACCTGTACGTTCATCAAAAATGGGTAGAGGAATCGCCTTATATAAAGTGTAAACTTCAGGTTCTAACAAGGGGATGCGTAGGACGAAAACTACTTTTGTTTTTGTTTGAAATGCTTGAAGTTCCATTAAATTGAGATATTCTGATACCCTTGCCAAATTGACTGGCATAGGTAAATTGTTTTTTGATAAGTAATGAGAGATTTCTTGAAGAGAATTTACTAAATTTTGAGGAATAATTATCGAAGAATGAATAATTTTCAAACGTGCAAAAGTAATGGAATTGAGAATATCGTTAATTTTCTCTTCTAGAAACATATAACTTTCCATTAGTTGTTCGCAAAGTTCCAAAAATTAAAATCTAGCTTCATAAAAGGCAAGATCATCTGAAATTTCATAAATTCTATTTTGAATAACCTTTATGCCCTCATTAAAAGTAGCTTCGTCAATTTGCAGTTTCTGAATAGTATTATTGAAGTTCTTAATAACCGACATGGTTACTGAGATCCGATTTTTCATAAGGTTTTCAAGCTCATGTTCGTCTTTAGAAATTTTGTTAATGCAGTCATTATAATATTTACCATCAGATGAATCGAGGTTACCTGTTATTGCTTTCCAAATTGTACCTATGGCATTAATTAGGCCGCGTTTCATTCGCGATGCGCAAGTTGTATCATCGAAAATCTCGTAATATTTGGTTTTCAAGGAACGGGAAATTTGGTAGAGAAGGCTCGTATGTGTCTTAATTTCGCTTCTAAATACTTTCATGCGATTAGTAGGTTCATTTATGAGAGTGGTTAAGTGTTCCAGGATATTATTGTTATCGTCGAGCGCCTTTTTGATCAGTTCAAGATCTTTGTAAACGAGTAAAGTCCAAACTTCGTTAAAAATTTTGAGAGGGCCATCTTCGTGGAAGTAAATACCTAATGTGTTGTTAATGGATTTGATGTCAATCTGGGCCGTACAGACAGCCGCAAGAAACAGCAGACTGTACCTGGAAGAGAAACTAAGTCTCAAAACATGGTTTCAGTCTGTCGAAATTGACTTTAGTTGTTCTGTTTGATTCTGGATTTTTGAGCATGTCCGAATTTTCAAATACTTGAATGGCCTCATATGGTCCATCGAATTTATTTTGAAGCTTATTGGAAATTTGGGACTGTTTGACAAAGACTTTGTCACCAATTTTGTACGTTTGGAGGTTCGGTGATACTCTGTTATCGAAACGAACCTTAGCCTTGTGCTTTTGTTCGTCCGTTCTGGCACGGGCTATTTTATAATAATATTCGAGCTTATTCCAAATATCTCGAAGGTATTTTCAAGGTAGACGTGTTCTGGGGGACGACCAGATGTATGTCCGGAGACAAGTTCGTAGGGAGTAAAGACTGTGGTTTTGTTCCTTGTGCTATTGTAGCACTGGACATCATAGGGTAGGATATTAAAGGGGTGTTCGTTCGGATTTTCAGATACGTGCGTTCTAATCATTTCCAATAAAGTGGCATGGAAGCGTTCGATCGATCTATTGGACTGGGGGTGACTGACGCTAGAGAATGTCATTTTGATATCATAAAGACTACAGAGATCTTTCATAAGAGCGTTGTCGAATTCTTTCCTATAGTCGCAATGTATTCGAAGGGGTGTACCATAATGTTGGAAATAAAAAAGAAATGTATTCTCGAGAGATTTAGCAGACTTGTCGTTAATAGGATAGGCTTGGGAAAATTTTGTAAGTTCATCTCGGGTTGTAAGAGCATATCACTGAGGCGGGGCTTCTAGGATGTCAATATTGATGCGTTCAAATGGAGCTTTTGGAGTTTCTGTAACAACCAAAGGGGTACTGAGGTTTTTTCGGCAGATTTTAGTTTTCTGACAAATTTCACATTTCTTGATGAAATGTTCGACAAACCGGGCCAATTGTATCGTTCACGGATACGTCTGATAGTTTCGTTAATACCTCTGTGGATATTTTTCTTACCACAATGGTATTGGTCTAAAATGATTGGAATTTCATCAGGGCTTGGAATTTTAGTTACATTCTGACAAATGACAATTTTGATATTTTCGTCGGAAAATATGAAAGAAAATATTTCTTGGATGGGCAAATCTAGGTTGTTTTCGACGTAAATTTGTTGGGACAAATCAAATATGCCTTTGTTATTTAAAATAAGGGTGAAAAGATGTTGTACGCAAGTCGCAGGATCGTACGGCACGGGAATTATATAATGTTTCCTATCTTTGACAGTCTGACTAGAAGCGATGTTAATTTTGTCTGCAGAAAGTTCGAGATTGGTTTCGAATATATCTTCGATAATTTTTTCATGAAGATCAGAAAGGGTGTTTTGTCGGAAAAATGTGACTATGTGTTTGTGGATTTTGTCTAGAAGTTGAGAGTTAGAAAATTGAATTTTGTAATAGTCTATTAAAGAGGTAGTTTTATCAAGGCGGGCAAATACATCAAATTCATTTTCGAGAAATTGGGTAGAAAGGGAACCTTCTTCATCACTAGGGTTAAGGGCGTTAACATTCATATGTATTTGAATGCGGGATAGGGCATCGGCATTCTTGTTGGCTTTGCCTGGCTTGTAGACTATTTCATAGTCATATTCCTCTAACTTGAGGCGCCATCTTGCTAACCTACTACCGGTATCACGGCAAGAAAAAAGCCAAGTTAATGGTCGGTGATCTGTGACCAATTTAAATTTTCGACCGTACAAATAGGGTCTAAAATGTTTTACACTCCAAACAATAGCTAGGAGTTCTCTTTCAATCGTAGAATACCTCGTCTCTGCTTGGCACAGTGTACGAGATGCATAAGCTATTGGAAGATCTTTACCAACAGGTCCTTGGGAAAGTACGCCGGATATTGCAAAGGCACTTGCATCCATAGTAAGCACAAACGGTTCTTCGGAGTTGGGGTAGATCAGTACAGGAGATGTTGTTAAAGCATTTTTCAAGGTATCGAATGACTTAACACACTCGCTGTCGAAATCGAAGACTGCATCTTTTTGCAATAGTCTGGTCAAGGGTTTCGCAACTTCAACAAAGTTTGGGATAAAGCGTCGGTAGTAACCGGCAAGACCTAAGAAGGATTTTATTTCTTTAGGACTTTTGGGTTGTGGGAAATTTTTTATACAATCCACTTTATCTGGATAGGGCTTAACGCCATCAGGGGTTATTACGTGACCAAGATAGGCTACTTCCTTTCTGAGGAATTCTCACTTATCTGGCTGAATCTTAAAATTCGAGTTTCGGAGACGTTTAAAAATTTCGGAAAGACTGGTGATATGTTCTTGGATGGAAGGGGAATAGATAATGATATCGTCCATGTATACAAGACATCTTTCGTTTTGTATACCCATCAAGATGTTGTCCATAACACGTTGGAATGTGGCAGGAGCGTTCTTGAGACCAAAAGGCATTCTCAAGAATTGATAGTGTCCGTTCTCCTTACCGAAAAAGCGGTTTTGGCAACATC